CTCGCAACTCCCTCATGGTCCCCTCACGACCAGGGACCCCTCGAACCCCACACAGCCCCCTCACAGCCAGAACCCCCAACTCCCTCAGTGCTTCCCCCCCCACTCCGACAGGGACCTCTCAGCCCCTCTCCCGCCGCTCAGCCCGGGCCGTACCTGACACCACCAGCGCCTCGTTGGGCCCCACCCTGCTGCAATTCCCCAAAACGCCCCCTCCACCATTACCGCCCGCCCCCACAAGCCCCCGCGCCCCGCTCGGTGGGGGCGCGGCCCGTGGGTGCCGCCATCTTGGGGAGGTCAGTAGCCCGCCCCGAGGGGCGGGACCGGGACCCGCCGCCATGTTGGGAAGGTCGGCGCCTCATGCCGGGGGAGGCCCGTGGGCGCCGCCATGTTGGGGTGTGCAAGGGAGAGACCGCAACGGGTGTGCAAGGGGGGGTGAGACGCTGTGCAAAGGGTGGGGGTGTGACACTGGGCGTCCAAGAGGAGAAGGGTGTGTGCCTGAAAGAGGTGTGTGTGCACTGCAGCACGTGCATAGGTGTGCAAGGGGGGGGGTGCACTGCACGCGTGTGCAAGGGTTCGAGGGGGTTGCTGCAGCGTGTGCGAGGGAGGGAGGTCTGCGTGTGCTTCGGTTTGTACACAAACGTACAAGGCGGGATGTGTGTGCTGCTCTGTGTGTGTATGCATGCAGCACACCCACCCCTGCCTTACACGCCCATGCACACACTGCAGTGTGCACACCCCCCCCCTTTGCACACTCATTCTGTGTCACACACACCCCCCCAGGCAGAGCAGGGCCTGCTGAGAGTGCCTGTGCAAAGGCCTCACGTGCCCACCTGCCCCCGCGGCGCCACAGCCCCTTGCATATCCCCATTTCATCCCCACACATGACCCGATGGGTTCCCCCTTCACCATCATCGCTTTTATTGTGTGGGAGCAGCGGGAGCAGCTGCAGAGGGTCCCACCTCATCCTCCCCCAGCCCCACCAGGCGCTCGCTGCCCTCCCAGAGCGCCCGTGCCAGCCGATCATCGCGCCCCCGTGGCCACGGCTGCTGGGGGCCACTGTCGGTGAAGTAGCGGCCACTGAGGGGCTCGAGGCCCTCCTGCGTGGCACAGTCCAGCACCACCTGCGCGCCCTCGGACGGGTCCAGGAACAGCAGCCAGGCCAGCGGCAGCAGCAGCGGCTTCAGCCACAGCGGCGCGTACCGGAACAACGCTGTGTTGACGAACCCTGCACGGGGGACAGTGGATGTGGAGCGTCCCCACAGCGCATGGGGGAGATGGCCATGGTGGCCTTGGCAGGGGCAGCGTGGCTGTGAATGTCTGCTGGCACTGCCAAGCCTGCCCTGGCCGTGCAAGGGTTGTGTAGGGGGCCAGTGATGCACGGTGCTCTGTGCAAGGATATTTGTGTAAGGGTCCACATTGTGCCAGGGGACACACCATGAAAAGGGACATGCTGTGCACAGGAAGGTGTGTGCAGAGGGGCACGTTGTACAACGGGATACCTGTGCAAAGGGACACTGCAAAGGGACACATGCTGTATAAAGGGACACTGTGAAAAGGGACATGCCATGCAAACGGACACACCGTGAAAAGGGACACTGTACACAGGGGCACTGCAAAGGAACATACCATATAAAGGGACATGCCATGTAAAGGGACACATGTGCTAAGGGGACACATTGTATAGAGGGATATGCTCTGCAAGGGGACACACTGTATAAAAGGAACACTCCATGCAAAGGGACACGCCATGCAAAGAGTAACAACCATGCAAGGGGACAACGCTCCACGTGCAGCAATTCCCTGTGCAAAGGCTGCACCGCGCAAAACACTCCCTGTGCACGTGACTTCACCGTGCAGAGCACAAGGTCGGGACACAAAGCTGTGCAGGGCACACCCCATACAGATGCTGATGGTGAGCCCACGCAGTGCTGGGTCCTACCTGGGTGCACGGCGTAGCAGGTGACCTGCGTGTCCTGCTCCCGCGTGGCCAGCTCGCGGGCGTGCAGCACGTTGGCCAGCTTGCTGTCACAGTAGTCCTGGAAGGCGGAGAACAGCCCCGGGGGCGGGCGGCCCAGGGACTCGGGGTGCAGGCAGCCAGCGCAGTGGGCGCTGGAGGCGACGATGACCACCCGGCTGGGCCCGCAGCTCCGCAGCCGCTCCAGCAGCAGCTGGGTCAGCAGGAAGTGGCCCAGGTGGTTCACCTGGAAGGGGAGGCTGAAGCCATCCTCTGTCGTACCCCCGGCGCTCACCCCTGCGAAGAAGGCAATGGCAGCCCACGGCGGGTGCCCCAAGGGGGCAGGGGGAATTTGGGGTCCCGGCGCTCACCCGCGTTGTTGATGAGGAGGTGCAGGTGGGGCTCCTGCCGCAGGAAGGTGCTGGCGAAGGCTCGCACTGAGCGCAGGCTGGCAAGGTCCAGGTGCATGAACCGCACCTCTTCATTCCCTGTCTCCTGTGGGCACAGCAGAGCCTGGGGCAGGGCTGGGGGGCAGCCAGGGGTGGGGATATCCTGCCCTGGGTTGGGGGTACCCTGACTGGAGTGGATCCAGCTGGGGACAGGGGGGATGCTTTGGGGGCTGGTTCTGGCCCAGGGTGAAAGGGCTGTAGCATGCTCAGGGGCTGCAGTGTACTGGGACCCCCCCCAGCATGAAGGGAGTGCCCACACAGCTCCCCCTATGGTACAGGGTACCCATGCCTTGGGTGTTTCTGTGTCCCTGGGGTGTTTCTCTGTCCCTGGGGTGTGCCAGGGGTTCTCCTGGGAGGGCCTGGGTGTATCCCTGGTGTACCCACAGGGGTGTTCAGGGAGTTGTTCAAGTGATGCCCAGAAATGTCCCCTTGGATGTCCTGGTGGTGCCTAAGGGTGTTTGGGGAGTCTCCTGGGGGTACCTGTGGGTTTCTCAGGGTAACGCTGGTGGGCTAAGGGAATGCCATGGCAGTGTCCTCAGAGTGCCCATGGGGGTGTCCGGACGTGCCCATGTGATATCCAGGGACGTCCTACCCTGAGGTGCCAGGGGAGGAGCAATGGGGGTATCCTGGGAGTCTCCTGGGGTTGCCCGTGGGGTGCCAGGAGTGTCCTGGGGGTGCCATGGGGGTGTCTGGGGAAGACCGCGTGCTGCCTCGGGATGTCACATGGATGGGAGTGCCCAGGAGGGTGCCCGGAGGTCCCCCGGGGGGGGTGCCGCTGCGGGCGCTCACCGTGCGGATGCGGCTGGCGGCGGCCTCTCCCCGCAGGGCGTTGCGGGTCGCCAGGATCACTCGGGCCCCGCACCGGGCGAGCTCCAGCGCCGTGGCCGCCCCGATGCCGCTGCTTCCCCCTGCGGAGCGGAGGTGAGCGGGGGTGAGCGGGGGCCGGGCCTGCCCCGGGTCCCTCCCAGCCCCTCCCGGCGCTCACCGGTGACGATGGCGGTGCGGCCGCGCAGCGCGGGGCGGGCGCGGGGGCGCGGGGCGCTGCGCAGCCCGTGCCGGAGCAGCGTGTACAGCGCCAGGAGCAGCCCCGCGCCCAGCAGCGCCCACCCCATTCCCCCGCCGCTACCGGTGAGATTCCTTTCCACCCCGTCCCCGCCCGGCACCTCCCGGTCCCGCCCCGCCGCGCTGGGGCCGCCCCGCAGCCGCCCCCGCCTCCCCGCGGCGGCGGGACGGACCGACGGAAGGGGCAAGGTACGCGCGGCTTGAGGGGAGGGTAAGCGAGGTCCATTCGTGGCTCCGAGAGGGTGAGTGCGGGTCAGCGCGGCTCCCGATCGATGCCCCGGGGGACAGGGCAAGGGGCACCCCCTGCCTCCCCGTGCCAGACCCCACCGCTCCTGTCCCGAGGGGTCGGAGATCACAGAATCAGAGGATGGTTCAGGTAGGAAGGGACCACACCGGAGGTCATCTAGTCCAGCCCCTGGAGCGCACTTGGGACTGTGACCAGTTTGTGAATATCTCCAGGGAAAGGGAGTCCAGCACTCCCCATGGAGCCTATTGCAGTGCTTAAGTTACCTGCACAGTACAGAAATTCCTTTTCACATTGAGGTGAAACTTCCCTTGTTCCCATTTCTGCCCACTGCCTCTCCTTCTATTGCTCAGTATCCCTGAGAAGAGCCTGGCTCCAACATCGGACACAACCCCTTCAGCCTCTCAAATACATGGGTAAGATCCCCTCAGTCAGCTCTTTTCCAGGCTAAATAGGCCCAACTTCCTTGCCTTTCCTTTGTAAATTAGGTGCTTCAAGTCCCCTCATCTTCCAGGTTGCTTCCAGACACTCTCTCTCTCCTGAGGAGCCCAGAACTGGATGTGCCACATCCCTGGACACATTTGAAGTCTTGAAGTCCTCACCCTCTTCCCTCCCACACCACCAGCATCCCACCACATCCCCCTTAAAGGACCTCAGGCTCCTTCCATCATCCCATCCCAGCCTTGTCAGCCCCACCTCAGGCTCCTCCGCTGTGGTCAGACACTCAGGGGGGAAGCTCCAGGTTGTGGTGACACGAGTGAAGACAGACAGTCGAGAAAACAGAATGTGAAGTATTTTTTTTTATATACAGAATACAGGAAAGTTTCTGTAAAGTCTAAAACGTTACAATTACTATGTACAGTGGAACTAGCTGTTCTGCTGCGGGGAGGTGGCAGAGAAACAAAAGAGACAGACAGGTTACGACAAACGATCTGCTACAATAGACAATTTGAGGAACGTCATACCACATGTAGCACTGTACACAGCTTTAAAACATTGAAAAATGCCATCACTGATGTATTTACACAGAATCCAACACTTTTCCTTATTTGAAATAAAAAATAGGATGGACACCAGGAAAAGAACTCATTTCTCACTGCCCATAATACACAGTAGCTACTTGTAGTGCAACCATAGCAGGGAGGGATGGGAAAAAATAACTGTGGGAAGAAGAGCGCTTCTTTACATTAAATAAAACAATGATATTGTATAGATTTGCTGTATGAAAACTGTATTTCTCTTTTAATATAAAACTATTGTCACTGGCACAAAATAGAACAAGTTTCTGATTATTTTACAACTGCATGGGAACTATCTGTCAGAGAGAGTCCTCGAGTCAGACAGCGGTCGCCCCTCGCTCTGACGCGTCCTGCTCTCACTGCAGTTTTCCTTTTAAAATGAAATGTATAGTACAAATATATGTGCAAATGCCCCTAAAACTTGAGCAAAAAAGAAAAATTAAAAAAAGTTAAA